CTGAGTCCCTGTTTTGAGAGCAAAATTCTTCAGAGAAGTTTAAAAGAGATGGAACACTGCCTTCAGAAATAGAGAGGTTGTGTTAAGAGAGGATAACTTTACATTTTGATATTTTTAAATTAAGGTTTTTGTGATTCAGAATTTACTCAATGGAAGGTAGTTTGGTTTTTATTTTGTTGTGTTATTTTCAAAATCTTGTAGCAATGCTTTTTGGCTTATCCATGACAATGTATCATTTTGTGTTCTCAACAGAAATAAATTGAGCGTTCCAGTTCCTCTCTGCCTCTGTTAACTCTTTTTTCCCTCTTGATCTGTTTTGTAGTTGTTACCTTGCAGATCTTGTAATGTGCTGAAGCCCCTTGTAGGTTTGAAGACAGTGCCCATGATGAGCTGTCAGGTGCTAGAATTAGTGATTTGGTTGGCTTAGCCTACGATTCTCAACTTGATCATTAAAAGAATTTTACTTTTTGTTTATTCTCTGTCTCCTTAAAATAATTTGAAGCTCTTTTGATTCATATGATGAGGTTGAATGACTAATTTAAAGAATATAGCATAATGCTGGCAGATACTAATGCCAATTTCAGGAATTAATAAAATGATAATTTCTTCAAGTAGATAATTAACTTTGAAGCTCTCTTGTTAGAATTTTAACTTCAAGTTCTTAATTGTGTTGATTAAAGTCAGCTTTGGATTTAATTTCCCCAAGTCCAATGTTTTTTAAATACATGTTTTATTCACTGGGAGTATTCATATGTGTAACAGTCCTCTTGGTTATTATCAGTACAGTGTATACCCAAGGAATGCGTTATCATTGTAAAAAGGGGGGCTTGTTTCCTTTGTGTAGTTCCAGAATGATACTAAGTCAGCAGTTCACTTTCCACTCTTAAAATATCCACCTGCTTGTCTAGCCGTTACCTTTTCTCAAGAGAAATGACAGTTCATCTGGTTCGGTGGAAGCAGTGAAGCATTATTTGTCTTTTCAAATTCTGGCCAATATTCACTTGTGCCTTTGAGTAATGTTTGCTTAAAGTAGTGCAGATACACTCTAGTTCATTGAGCGCCTCTTATTTTCTGCTTCCTGAATAACATTTCTTATTTCTTTAAATTTTTTGTGTATAGCTTAAATATTAGCATAACAAAGACAATTGCAATACCTGTGGTCCCTCCACCTCCCCCCAAAGTTATAAATGTTCATTATATTTGTTTCTTTAACATGAAAATTTAAGAATCCAGAAAAAGGTTGGCCCAAATCAAGAAGGTGACATTCAAATACGATAAGTGTGAAGTCGTGCACACAGGCTGGAAAAATTGATTTTGTAAGCAAAGACCTTGGAGGACTGACCCAGCAGCAGTTCATTAGGAAATAAATGAGTAGCACCTGGGGTTTGAGTTTACCACCTGCTTTGCATGAATTATTGGTGTGATGGAGGTGCTAAGAATAGACATGTACCTTTTTTAGATGCATTAATAAAGGTTTGCGTAATTGCTCCCTGTGTTTTTTGTGTGTTGCAATATATTATAAGTATGGGGTTAGTCTGCTCACTTCAGAGGATAAAGGGTTTGAAGTCCCGATGAAACATTTTGGACTGAATTTAGCAGAGCTCACTGACAAAGAATCTTGGTCAACAATCCAAAGTGACTTTTCCCCACAGCAGTCTGTCAGCAGCTTCCTGGGTGTGGGTGTTCTTCTGCAGTGTTCACCGTGTGCTCCACTGTTCAGAACAGGGGCGGGAACGTAGTAGGTACATACTAGTGGAGCCTATGAGCGAAACAGGACCTGATAAGGGCAAACAGAAGCAAGCTACCTTCAAAACATCGGCTATTGAAGACCCTGTGAAAACAGGTTTACTCTGATATGCATGGGATTGTTATCAGCAGTGAGTCCACAGCACCTGTTTTTTGTTTTGCCTTGTTTTGTTTTGAACAAGTGAAAGACCAATGGCTCTCCCATAGGAAGGGTCTTCTCAAGAGTGTTCCTGTGTTAGAAATGATGACCACCCAGAAATACATGAAATCTAATTTGTAGTATTAGTAAGGGCAATTTCAGCTCAAGAACTTGGTGACTTTTTATGTTTTCTGTCATTTGCTGAATTTTGCTACATATTGACATGCTTTAGAGAGATGGTGATGAAAGGGTGCTTTTTGCTTCCCCCTGATCACCAGAATTGATGTGAGTGTCTGATTACTTAGTTTGGTCACCCTCAGATATTTCAGTTACCCAAGAATGTGATGATCCGGAGGAAAATCAGTTTTTCAATAATGCCTGTGACCCTCATTTGATTTGTAACAAATGCTTTCCATGAATACTATTCCTCTGCTAGTAAAGTTATTACTTTAAGAAATGTTCTGCTGTTCCTGAAGTAGTAAAATATAAAATGAGAGAATAGAGTCACAGATAGTGAGAAATGTAAAAACACATCTAACATGGAAACCAAAAACATTGATCTGGTCTGTTTGCTCATCAAACATACATTGAGGACCCGTATGGCCCTTCTTTAGAAACGTGATGTGCATGCTCTTTGCTCCATTCTGTTTCCTTTGATTCAGTTGACCTTTTCTGTTACAGAGCACCAAAACTACTTTGGGATCGATGAGAACCTTGGCCCTGTGGCCATAAGCATCCGGAGAGAGAAGGTTGATGACACTAAAGAGAAAGAAGGGTCCCAGTTCAACTACCGTGTAGCTCTCAGGACCAGTGAGGTAATGACGCTATTGTGCCTTGTGGCTGTCCTTGGCTGAAGTCTGAAGATCAGTAAATATTGTGCTTAGGCAGTATACCTTCATGACTTTAGGGCAGGCATTCTCAACCTGTGTGTCACAACCCCTTTTGGGGTCGCCCAATTCATAACAGTAGCAAAATTTCAGTGATGAAGTAGCAGCGAAAATAATTTTATGGTTGGGGGTCACCACAACATGAGGAACTGTATTAAAGGGTCGCAGCATTAGGAAGGTTGAAAACCACTGCTTTAGGGCATGTTTGTCTATTGATATGTTTTCTCTTAGGTAAATGGTTCTACCATTAATTTGTATAATGATCGATATGTATACATTTTTCCATAAGTCAACTTGAGGACATGAAACTACTGACTACCACTATGAGTTTATGTAGAAATACCTATTATCAGCTTTAATAACTTGAGATTTCTTAATGCTTACTCAAGATTTGGCGTTGTTCTATGTGCTTTATATGTAGTTCCCCCATGTTATGTGATGTAGCTGACACAGACAGTCATAGGCACACAATGTCCCTGCAAGTTTCATAATTCATGAGCAGGAGAACTGAGCTTTGCACATTAGCAGTGTGTCTGCAGAGTTCCCCAAACTCTTGCAATGTCTCCTGCCCGTCTCTGCCTGCATAGGATGCAATGTCACAGTTCCTAGGGGACCAATGGTTTACCTTCATAACACCTTCACTATGACGCCTTTAGTTTGCCTTAGATGTGGCATTGAATTTTACATTTTATTTTAACTAACTTTAAAGATGGAAGCAGTTATGGTACTTTAAAAAATGAACAGAGTAAATATTATGAAACTTTCCATGAGTGTTAAATAGTAATGATTTTGAAAGCCGCTTTGTATGAACATAGGATAAAATTATAAAAATAGAAAGTTTAGGGACTAGGACAGGATATGACACTAACATCCTAACACACACACACACACACACACACACACAATCAGATAGCCTGATGTAGAATGTTTGAGTGGGTTTAAATTGGTTTTGTTGTTGTTTTAATCAGCATGATACGTCTGTCTACTCCTGTTTTATTACATCTAGGAAAGAAATTAATCCCTTGCTGGTATTACTCTGAGTAATAAGTGAAATTGTTATAGAAATGACACAGTGTAGAGTTACATGATAGAAGTGTTGATTTGTGTAAGGAATTAGATTAGACATGAAATTTAGATTTTAGTCTTTTGGTCCATGTTAGTCAGATGACCAGCCCTGAGTGGTGCAAACAGATAATACTCTTGGCTACTATCCTGTTTCCCCGAAAATAAGACAGTGTCTTACATTAGATTTTGCTCCCAAAGATGCTCTAGGTCTTATTTTCAAGGGATGTCTTATTTTTCCATGAAGAAGAATACGGTACACATTTATTGGTTATTGTTTTATTAAAAGAGACCTTGCACTTCCTGTCTGCTCCGGCTGCGCTGCGGCCAACAGTGAACTGTGCAGGAGTGCCCGGCCACTACGGTCCAGTGCCAGAGTTACGGTAGCTTTGGGGGGGCTTATTTTGGGGGAGGTCTTATTTTCGGGGGGATGCCTTATATTTCAGTGAGAGCCAAAACTGTAAGTAGGTCTTATTTTGGGGGGTGTCTTACTTTTGGGGAAACAGAGTAGCCCAAAGGTTGGTAGTTTGAGTCTGTCTAGAAGTGCCTCAAAAGAAAGACCTCATCATCTCCTTCTAGCAAATTGGCCATTGGAAACCATATGGAGCACAGTTTGACATCATGGGGTTTGAGTTCGGGTCACTTGTGGCCAAGGGGTTGGTTTTAGTTGGCTAATTGTCCAGAATGTGTATGGGGTTGCCTAGTTCTAGATCATGTTGACAGATGAAGAGTGCTCTTTCCTAATTAAGTGCAGTCTGCATGAACATCTGTACAACTGTGCACTGTATCTCCTATTTAGACATTCCAGTGATCCAGCGTAATTTAATGTCCCTTTATAGACGTGTGCTACCCAGTGTAGTAACTCCTAGCCACAGGAGCCTATTTAAGTTAAAAGTAAACATAAATCAATTTAATTTAAAATTCTTTTTCTCATATTATGGTGGTGGTTGGGTGCCACTATTTTAATTGCTCAGTAGTAGGTCTGAGGTTTGTATTCTAATGGTGATCCCACACTCTCATGGCACATGTAAGGGCATACAGCAGATCACAAGTGAAGCTCGGGGGTGGTCATCTGAGCCCAGAACCACCCTCCCCCAGATATCACTGCACAGGTACCTTGTCTAGGCTATCGCTGGGTACCCCTGCTCAACCAAAGGACATATCAGTAATGGGTAATAGAAGAGAAGCAATGGCATGAGATAAAAGTGGAGAGCATGGGTTTACAAACTTATTATTATTTACAGTGAAACAAACTACTCAGTTCCTCCTGGTAGTTAAAAACTCTCATACTGTCACCCATGATCTAGGAAAATGTGTAGGTATCTGCTTTTGCAACCCCCCTGGAATGTTTTAATGACCCTAGGGGGCTGTATCACCTATTGAAAACTGATGTAGAGCAATTGAGAAAACAGGAAAACTAAGGAAGGATGGAAGAAACCCGATTATCCCCTTTACAATAATCCACATGTGAGAAAGAGAATTGTCAGAAATGTCCTTATTTTGCACAGCAGTACCGTGTCTTCCTTCTCTTTATTCATTAGATACATATTTGATTATTTCAACTTAGGCCTAACTCTCCCCTGATATTTGTATGCAAGGGTAAGTCAAGACTTACTGCAGAATCGCAGAAACCTTTATATATAGATATAACAATGACGCTACTGTTTTCTTGATAGAGCCTCCATCTGGGTCTATCTCTGCCCTAAGGTGGTTATTTCAGCTCTCTAACTCTTCCCTGAAGCATTCCGTGCTCTCCTATTTACACCACCTCAAAATTACAGTATCAGCACCCCAGAGGGAAACACAGTACGCTCCTTTTCGGTGTTCTTTTCTTTGGGTAGTGAAATAAACTCTGAGGGGTAAGCCCAGAGTTAAAAGGTGGGTGAAGTAATGTTTCTCAGGGGAATTCCTATAGGACAGCCCTTGCTACCCTCTCAAAAAATGAGCAGTGTGTTATCTTAATGAAAAAAAAAATTCTCAGCACAACTTTGCTGGCCTTTTTCTCACTCATGTGATCTTCAGTATTCATAACAAGCACCCATGTTTGCCCTGTATCTTTTTGAGAAAATCTATACAAATTACCCTACTGAGGTCCCCAATGAAAGCCCCATAACCTTCTCTGCTACCTCTCTGCCTTGAATTTAATTGGCCCAATAGGTATCCTCAAAAGCCATTGCTTGATAGGACCTCTTTTTTGGGGAAGACACTTTAAGGAGACAAAGACAAGTGTCTTACTGAGAGAACCTGTCTGTCGCCATCCACTGATGACACAGAACTGTACAAGCACACCTTCTTTGGAGTAAACTTGTGCATATATGAACTGCAATCCCAGTAACTGTGTCCTATTACTTACTTTTGCATTTTTACTAATTGCTTCTTCATATTGAGTGCTGTATTCTCCTTTTCCCGGTCAAAAGATAGCCTCGGATCTCTTCTTTTTTTAAGGCAACTACAAAATTATATCTCAAATAGGTAACAGGAATAATTGGTAACTGAATCCTTTACTCCTCTCCACAGCTTACAACACTGAGAGGAGCAATTTTAGAGGATGCCGTACCTTCCACTGCTAGGCATGGTACTGCCCGTGGACTTCCTCTGAAAGAAGTTTTGGAATATGTCATCCCAGAACTGAATATTCAGTGCCTGAGACAGGCTTCGAACTCACCCAAAGTCCTGGAGCAACTACTCAAGCTTGATGAACAAGGGGTGTGTATAATGTGGGTTTGGCCTGGAGTTTGTGTCTATGTCTAAATATTTAGAAATTCTCCCTTCCATCTGTTTTTCAAAACTATTTCTTTTTGATGTCACAGTGTATTTTCTCCTGCTATTTCCCAAATATGCATTTACACTACTTAAGAAATATGACCCTCTTATAGAACAATATGTCTCCTGCTGGATTGTGACTTCTATTGTTTTTACCAAGATTTTGGTATGTGGCAAGTGCCTTTTTCCAGGGTTTAAAAACTTCAAGTTGGCTCTTTTCCTGAACAAATATTTACTATTGTCTACTCCGTTCAAGGTATACTAACAAATGTTGCCAGCATGTACTGGGAAGTTTGAAGATGGCTGAAACCTAGCCTATGAGGACAGTAAGACCAAAGGCACAATGGTCTCTATGATAGAGTTGATAATAAATCTTGGAGAGTTCTAAATTCAATGACTGCTTGGGGGAAAAAAAACATTTGGGCTGAGTTAATCTCTTGTAAGAAGTCGCATTTTAATTGAACCTTCAGGCTTGGGTAGGATTTCAAGAGGGAGATAAGGGTAGTTGGCTGTTTTATGAAACTGTGCCTAATCTAGTTTCTCTTCAAGGACAGGTACTTGTAGGGAGGTTGTAGAAATAAAACCAAGAAAGTAAGTGATGGATGCTTGTGAGACCTTGATTCCAGACTAGACTTTCCCAGGATTCAGCAGGCAGTAAGGAACCGTTGCAGATTGTGCCACAGGAGGTGGCGGAATCAGAGCTACATTTTACCAAGATCACCCTGATAGGCTAGTGAGGTTAAAAACGGGTGGTGACCTGATACTCAAGCATATGATTACTGACATCGTCTAAGAGTGATTTACTGGTGAACACAACTGGATGGTAGCCCAGAAGATGGAAATAAGTCTTTTCAGTTTTATATGGAAGATGACTTTAATAGGGGAAACAGAGGTAGTCTGCCAAGTGCATGCAATGTATTTTCAATGTGAGTGGGTTTGTGTTTAAATGCGTGCTTTAAAAAAATAGAGCATGGCTAAGTATATTTTCAGAATTTCCCAAGGAAAATTCTGTTGCATGTTTTAGAGGGAGTCAAACAGTTTTTTGGCTGACTCAGTAGTCGTAATTGTGATGAATTCAACCATTTGTTACTTGCGGTAGCTGATTCTGAATGTGATAAAATTGTAGCTGAGCTGTCTGACAAGTTAGCACTGCATTGTTAGCATGACACAGGCTCTTTAACATTCTACATGGGTAAGCCTAAGATATATACATTTCAAGATGCTGTAGAAACAACCAAATTAAACTAAAAATTAACCAAATTTAACCAAATGATGCTAACCATAGTATTTACAGAACCAGCTTACTAATATCATGGCTGATAAAGTATGTGGAATGTATAAACTATCCATGCAATAGGAAACAGTTGAGGCAGGCATTTTATTGTCGGGAGAGAGAGAGCAGTAGAGGCTGGTCCAATTACTCAAAGTAGATTTAAAGGGAAGAACAGTATCCATTATTTTGTGCAAGAAGCATTAGTAAGAACTTGCCACCATATGATGAGTTCTTTATTCCTTTATGTTTCCAGTAAATTTTTGTTCATCATTTAAATGAAAGTAAATCACTGTACTGCATAGCAGAAGGCAGGTTGATTTGCTTGCCTGTTGGTTGGCATGTGGAGCCCCTAAGGCTGCTGTAGGTGAAGGTCAACAAGTACTCCATTTTCCCAGCCCTGAGTCAGGGCCTTCACGGCCTGGAGAGCCATGCAATTCTGAATTCTCCAGCAGAGCAATATTAAGAGAAGCACAGCAGCTACAGCTGACTGTACATAAAAATGAGTATCTAGGATGTTGGCACAGCAAAATACTCTCAAAGCTAGGCCAGAAGTTTCAAAACTTAAGTATTTTAAGCACTTTAAACAAACACCTATTTGCAATCTGATTTCAAGGAATTAATGTTTAAAACTGGGTTCAACTTTGAAGCAAATGAAAGCTTTTCATTGCCGTTCTCTTTTGAGGAGACAGTTGTTCAGTTTTGCTATGTACGCTGTTATTCTCTTGATAGTGTTTAGGGTTAACCATGATATGTGTTCCCTTCCCATGACTTTAGTTAATATCTGATCCCCTATTACATGAAGAAGAGAGACTTAATCTCAAAAGGTTACGGTAAAACAATTTCATCTTTGAAAGAGTGTGGACAACTTTGTAACGTCCTAGCTTCCAAAAAGTTGCCTCTTGGGAGTTGCAACACATCTGTGGTTCACAGCAGATAAATGCTGGTGGGTATTTTTTGTTTCTGGTTTGTCTGGCAGTTTTTGTGCTTTTCCATTTTCCTAAGAATAAATCTGTCCAGTAGGGAATGGGCTAATTTTATATCTTGAATACTCGCCACCTGCCTCCATCCCCTGCCACACACACACACAGAGCCAGTTATACCCTGTCCTAGAGGGCCGCTATGAGTCAGAAGTGACTCAGTGGCAGTGAGTTGGGTTTTGGGTTTGGTTGCAAGTGTTTCCTAATCTTGAAAAGATGTTTAACAGATAACCCTGTGCTTTCTGCCAATTCCTCATGCTGTCAGTTTCTGGTTTCTTGCAGTTAGCAGTTCAGTGTTGCACTTCTTAGTGCTTAGTCACCAACGGGGCTCCATCAGACTGGTTTAAACTCAGAAAACACAGCAACCTCTTTGCCACTGAGTTAATTCTGACTCACAGTGATCCTCTTGGACAGAATAGAACTGCTTCTAGGCTGTAGTGCTTTCCAGAGGGCAGCAGAAAACCTCATCTTTCTACTGTGGCTGGCTGGTCTTTTTGAACTGCTGACCTTGCAGTTAACATTACAATGTGCAAGCCAATTAGACCACTACTGCTCCCCCCTGAGGCTTAGAGCAGATGAAAAATGAAACCCTGATCTGAGAAAAGTTAGTGTTTCAGTGCAGGAAGTTTTGGAGTCTCTAATTTGCTTTGTATAGTGACCCCGCTGAAGAGCCTTTTTCTTTTTGGTATGTGACAGAAGTAGTTGTGCTTGATAATGTATTTAGATTTTTTCCATAAGGTTGTCGATGAGAGAGAGTCAGGAAACATGTGTCTCTTCTTTGATTAAGTATTTCATTATATTACTATATTTAGTGGCCTAACAACTATGGTTGGTGTTTATTTCTGTGTCATTGGCAATATTTATTTATCCTCAGTTCCATTTTGTGGACAAATCATATGGTGAATTTATCAAAAGAAGTGTGGTGCCCATAAAGCCTTTTCATGGGCTCTGGAGCTCTCACCCACAGACTTCTGGGAAGTTGTCTGTTGAGAGCTTTGAAATCTGATTTCACTTCATCCCCTGGTTCCCATAGTCCAGGACCTTCTTGCATGAAAGCTTGAATCCTGTTCACTGGTAGGATTAGACACAGTCTGAATTGTTAGATTGCCGGAAATTTGAGGCATGAAGTTGTCAGGGGGCAAATGCCAGTAAACAGAAGTGTCCAGTCATTTGTCTCTTCCCTGAATATGCATCCACAAGAAATATCAAGGACACAAGGCTCAAGAAATAGCTTCTTTGCTTCACCAGAATTGGGCCACATCATTCCTCAATCCACTATACGATAGGCTTCCTTCACCATGAAGTAGACATGTGAACAAAAGGAGGTCTAGTATCCTATTGAGATTCCCCAGGCAGCCAGGTGTGACCTGGAGAGCAGACTCTTCCTCAAGGCCACGTAACATTGGAGGCAAAGATGACACATGCATGAGGTGTCCAGACGGTCATGTAGAATGGTGCTGACAGGGCTCTGAGATGAGCCACAGAGGGTGGATCCGAGGACTTGTGGAAGGACAGCCACCAGGGCAGATGAGATCTGCAAGTCAGGGTTCTTTGATAGAGGATTTAGTTCTAGATTTAGGACAGTAGGTTCTAAATGAGATATATTTGAAATGTATGTGAATTTGAAATGTATTTGAGTATATTTTTTGCCAACTCTCATTAAAGTGAATAACTATAAAGCTGAAGATATTTTCAGAGAGTATAAACAAGTTAAATCCCCACACTGTCAATCTGTGTAGTAGTCATGAGGGTTTGCAATAATAACAGTAGTATAGATGCCACCGATTACTGAGACCTTCAGCATCCAAGGTAATTATTGCTAATTATAGCTGTTCCCCAAATATACATAGGATCCTGATATGTTTTCTGAACTCAGGATTCATTAATGTTTATCAATATAAAGTACTTTTATTATTTGTAATGATTTTCAAGCACCTGCTCTATTTCCATTAAATATGAACCAGTTTCAAATGTTCATAGAAAAATATCCATTCCTTTTAATTCCATTTTCCATGAACTTTTTTTAATCCCTTACATATGGTATCTCTTTTATTTGGAAGCTCATGTGATCAGAAATATTTATTCCTCTGGATGAGTGAAATCCTCTTTCTTGGCCCTATTAATTAAACGCCTGATGCTTACATACCCCATCTCACGTCCTCACGCCAGCGGCACAAAGCATTATCTTCATTGTGTGATGGAGGACCTACGGCTCTGTCAGGAGCCCAAGACTGTGCTCTTCACCCCGTTAGTCTCCAATCTGAGCTGATTGTAAGCAAGTGGTCTTCTTCAGAGCACCCAGGGCTGAAATGCATCAGAATGTAGTGATGGCCAACTCAACCTTCTAACTTTTGAATTTCTCCTGATATGCAGTGAAGTGCTTCCTGCAGCTTCCTCGACTGCCCAAGCATTGACGTTTTTCTTCCCTCTCATATCACGTTGTCATTAGATGATGTCGATGAGCCTGCTTCCATCACTTTCCTACTCTAGGAAAATGAGTATCATTTTGCCTTATTTTACTGATCGTGTCCACAATCAATCTTGATTGAGGCTCTATTTCAAGCCTGGTACTAAAAGTTAACACTATTATGACTTGTCTTTGAAGCCCAGATTGTTGTAGAGTAACAATCTGAGTTTATGAGGGAGAAGTAATTCCTCTTTGGGAAAAGTCGGCAAGCTGTGCAAATGCACGGCAGTCCCTGTGACCCTAAGCCTCCTGGGAAAGAAGCTCAGGACTTCCACTCTGAGAGACACACTGCAACAGGAACGCTTCGATTGCTATGAAAATTCCGTATGGTGTATTTAGTAGATGTTTTCTTTTCAGAACAGTAAAAAATGTAATGAGTGCTTATAATTGTTCAGCCAGTTACTTTTATAAAAACGAAGCATTCTGTTTGCATACTCATACATAAATCTCTTTTCTAATAGACTTTAATTTGACATATTTTTCCTAAAAGCCTTATATAGTATTATATATGTTCAAATAAAAAGCATGTAGTAGGAATGAGGAAATAAAGGGGGAAATTAAATTTGCAGCTTTTTCTTCTGACTTGATAGATAATGTTGATTACTGCATGGTGTGTAGAAGACTTACTATTTCCGTGTTTTTACTTTTAAATATATGCTTGAAATTGGTTTTGGGAAACCTGGCTAACACTATGGGGCTCAGACCACACAGTATAATTTTCAGCTTCTGACAGTTATCCAGCTGTACTTCTGGTTGCTGGCTTTATGACAGGCATACTTTGTTTAATTGTGCGTCTCTTTATTGGACTTCACAAACAGTGGGTTGGTTTGTTTTTCAATTGAAGGTTTGTGGCAACCCTGGCTCAAGTAAATCTATGAGCATCCTTTTCCAGCAACATATGCTTATAACTTCTTGTCTCTGTTTCACATTTTGTTAATTCTCACAATATTTCAAACATTTTTTATGTTAGTACACACTACAGAAGAGTGAAAAAGTAACTTTTATATGCACTGGAAAAACCATAAAATGCATGTGACTTGTTTATTATTGCAGTGGTCTGGAGCCAAATCCACAGCACTTCTGAGATCCATCTGTACATAGCATCAAAGACACGATAGTCACCTACTATGCTGCTTCTTTGCTTATAGCAGTTGTCCTGGCATGCTTTAAAAAATTCTATATTTTAAAACTTACTTTAAGTTAGTTTATCTGATACTCCTTGCCAAGTAATTGCATTTCTCCCCCATTTCAGCTGAGCTTTCAGCACAAAATCGGGATCCTTTATTGCAAAGCGGGCCAGAGCACGGAGGAAGAAATGTATAACAATGAGACGGCGGGGCCAGCTTTTGAAGAATTCCTTGATCTTCTGGGCCAGAGAGTACGGCTAAAAGGATTTAGTAAATATCGAGCTCAGCTAGACAATAAAAGTAAGATGATTATTGTTGTGTGTGCAAGTTTAATTCTCAAAAGATAGGCAGACCATATAAATAAATCTAAGCCAGTGATTCTTGAGCCCAGAGCAGCCTACCAGGCTTCTTCAGGCTGGAGTTTACATTTCCTCAGGTGAAGAGAGAAAACACATTTCTCAAGGGACCGTGCTTCACATCATACGCTCAAAAGGTCAATCATTTTTCCTTTGTAGCACCAATAGCGAAATAGCCTAGTGTTTCTGGAGGAATCGTTTAATATCTTCTTCTGTATTTGAGCTCACCTCTTCTAATTTCCCTCTTGTTCTGGGTACCAAGCGCAAGCACTGCTTTCATTTCCAAGAGACAAAAGAGCCTGACTGCAGTCATTCATGCCATGTCGTCAGGCGTAGTATGTTCGTTTCAGGGTTCAAGAAGTTCGCTGGGGGGATGGAATCGTGATTAAAAGCCTCTTATTTTTCAGTGTCGTAAACCAGGTTTCCCTGAGTAATGGGACAATTAAAAGCATGTGCTTTCAGTCCTCATGATCTACTGAACTATATGGCTTATGATCCTCAGAAATTCTTTATCTTTCTAATTTTTATTTGCAGTGCTAATTATTTAGTTGCTGGCAGCACTGAATGATGAGGGGCAACAAATGTCTAGGTGTGCTCTACACAATTGATCTATGTATTGTGATGAATTGTATGAGCCCCAATAAAATGATTAATAAAAAAAACACCAAGGAAGATCATTTTACTGGTTCTTTTAATGAAAATGATGAGCAGGTAGCTTATGAAACTGGAGTCTTAGCTTCTAGGCCACTCTGAACTGGAGGAAACTGGAGACAGAATGAAGTCTTGTAGGGGAGAGTCTGGGTGACAGAGCCCGGATGAAAACAAGGGCGGCCAGATGAACACGTGGCGTTCTTCTGCGCACCGTTCTCTGTGTCTCCAGGGCCTCCTCAGAAAGTCCAGTCAGTTTTGACTGTCATTGGTACCACTCCTCCTCAAACCGGTGCTTTTTTATTGAGGGGTCCAAGTCAGTCTGCCTCTGTTTTGAGTTCCCAGCCTTTAGATTTGCTTTGAAAGTTATAAGTTACAGTATACCACAAGACAGGGCGACAGAGTTCATGTATATGTGGATCACAGTGTATCTCTATACCTGTCAGGTTTACAACTTGTCTGGTGCATGGGATGCATATTGCATATGCCTTAGCCGTATCCCGTGTATACTTGTGTATTAGCCGAGTTTTCCGGCACATTTTCAATGCAGTTTTTGTGGTAAAATCGGGTGCCTTGGCTGATATTCGGGTCGGCTTATACTCGAGTATATACAGTAAATATTAGGACATAATTCATGGCATAGCATGAAGAATACAAATACATATTTTAAGTTGATCAGTGAAGCCTTTTCCGAGTTTTCTTCTTATCTTTCATCCTCCCCAGTACTCTGTATCTGGGAACCACCAGGGCAGAGTGGTGCTCTCCTCAGGAACCTCTCCTGTTTGAAACTCCATGCACTCCTGTTTGGGATGAGAGGTGTCCCCTCTCCTAGAGCGGTTGGATTGTGGAACTGTTTCTGAACTCCTAACCTAGACATTCAAGAACATAAATAATGCCAACATTTCCTGACCTCAGCTGTGAGTTTTTGTGACTTTGGAGAGACCATTGATGTAGAGGTGGCACTAAGCACCTTTGCTTCGGAGATGATAACAAAAGCTCTGCCTTTGGATGTGTTGACCCTAACAACCAACAAATATTTACGTTTTTCATATGCAAAGCATTTTTTAGGCACACTGATGGATGCAAAGAAGGCTACGACATAACCCCATTACCAGAGAAGTATGTTTCACAGAATTGTCACATAAAGTATGTGATTTATGAGCAAATAAAAATATTTCTTCTTTGATTTAGGGAAATCATGTTCTAGTTCAAAACTGTTATCAAACATAGGTCTCAATTTCCTCACCAGAAAAATTCAGTACATCAGGCTAGAATATTTTGGATGTCTTCCACCTCTGAAATGGGTGGCTTCATTCTTAAGTACACAATGAAAGGGAGTCAGATCACTGGATATAAGCTGCTAAGCATAGAGGAGTGTACACTTTGGGCCCGGGCCATGGACAGTGGTCTATCTGTTTTTGAAGAGAAATATTTTCAGCAAATCCATGAATAGGCTTGTCAGTTTGCATAATCCATTACCACGTATGATTGAGTTAAAAAGCTTTTAGGATTATTAATTTCAAAAGTTTATTTTTTAATATTGTTTGGGATAGACAGATGTTACCACATTTTCCCAAAATATATTTTCCGTCTTTGCAATTTCCTGAATCTGAAACCTGTTCATTAGATACTAAAAGTATCTGTCAGCACTTCATATACCAAATATCCAGTGAAATAGTATCAAAATGGGAATAATTGAATATACCTGAGCAGTTTCAGCATTTCACCTTCAGTATTGTCATCTGTGAGTCTATTATCACCAAAGAGCTTTTATATTTGCTTACTTCCAAACAAATATGTTATGTCAAGGAGCTGAGCAAAGAGACTCAAAATGAGATATTGCCTTCTAAAAGTCCTCTGGAAAATAACAAATATGCTGGCTCTATTTAATGAATACTTTAAAAAGAAAATTCCCAACTATTTCATGTTGGGAATAGTTGGCATGCAGTTTATTAAATGAATGTTGAGCATACATAAATTGAGATTTATCTATATTGATAATGTTATATAGTTTAAGTAGCCCCTTCATTCATGAAATCTTTAATGTGAATACCTCTTCAGAGTTTCCAAATATAGCAAATGATATTTTTCTTGCTGGAGAATTTTCAGAACCACCTCTGAGTCACACATAAATACTGGAAAGAAGAGCATGCTGTAAGAATTAGAAAGAAAATACTAAAGGCAATGAGGGTGTTATTTTTTCAATTCCTAGAATAAAAATTTAATTTTTTAAGTTTTAAAAATTTCATCCAAAATGACTACTCTCTGGAGCAGTAATTTCAAATAAACAGACTTTTAAAAAGATGATATTGAGCAACATTATTTCTCATTGTTTAAAAGGTGGAAAAATAAGACCAAATGTAAAGTAAAGGTCAGCAAAAGTAATCTATACTCTTGTATGCCTTATTTCCATATATCTGTGTTTTCTTTTACCCACATGCAAAATGATTCAACAATATGCCCCACAGTTATTACTTATGCTTTTGATAGTTTCTGTTTCAGTTCTTATGCCTGAGACTAAATCTGAAGTAATCTCAGTAGCAGAACAAATGGGTTTTGAGTTGACAAAGAACCCGGCTTTTCAAAAGGTGACGAGGTTCAAATGTCAGGCTTTTCTTTTAAACATACGTCAGTGCATTATCCTAATAAGAGATCATATCACATTCTTTCTCCATTTTCTTTGTTGATATGACTATATTGCTTGGTCTATATAAAGGAGGAAAATAATTACATCACTCATGAAGATAATTCTTTTTAAATACCTATTTTTGTTCCATTTCCATAGTGAGTCTATTCTATGTCATTTTATTGGGGTCTAAGAAAAAAGCAAATGCCCAATAATAGCTAACTAATAACTATACACAAACCAACCAAAGGATGGGGCAAGAATAACTACTGCTTAGTCTACACCTTCGAATAATTGTCCCCAGACCCGCACTGGACTGTACCTCTAGCTCCTTTCTTCCTCTGCTTTCCTCTACTCCTCATGGCAGGAGTACCTGACCCACCATAGTGGGCCACCGGAGTCAGTACAGTGAAGACAGAGTAAAAGAGTGTATGAAACCAAAGCTGGGGAGAGCAGATGAAGAGAAAAGTGAACGCTTAGAGACAGAGAGGATGGGGAGGGACTTGGATGACCTACTTTTGAAGTTTCTGGAGGATAAGATTTTTGTTTTTTTTCTGGTTAAACTGGCTGTGACCTTTGCCTAACATATTGTTGTAATATGTCTTTGTCTTTAGCTGATTCTACAGGAACTCATTCCCTCTATACCACATACAAGGATTATGAGCTCATGTTCCATGTGTCAACTTTGCTGCCCTACATGCCCAACAATAAACAACAGGTATGTCTTCACCCAGCCTGCATCCTCTAGACTAGAAGCTCTCAGACTAATTTGGTCTGCTGCTTCCTTTAAAAAAAGAAAAAGAAAAATACTCAGTGCCACCCCTCATAATCCCACCCCGCAGCCTGGCAATTAAAAACTTTGGTACTATAATTGATAACCCAGGAAAAAGAGTAGGTATTTAATTTTGCTGTCCCCCTGGATCATTCCAATGCCCCCCTTCCAGGAGGGGATGTATCATCCATTTGGGAAACAGCATTCTGTACCAAAAGCCAAACCTACTACCATCTAATTGATGCTGACTCAGAGTGCCACTCTGTAAGGTTTCTGAGACTAAATCTTTTTGGGCCCAAACAAGGAGCAGCCAATGGGTTTGAACCACTGCTTTTGCAGTTAGCAGCCCAACTAAATATCAGGTCAATCCATTGATGATATAAAGAATTCCAGGATTTATGAAGAATTGTTATGTTTGCTCTTTTCCTTGAATAGCCTTAATAATGTTTAGCTATCCTATTATTGGAAGTATCATTGTACAAGTTTTACTATAGTTTTTCTTATAGAACTTAGAAATTCTTCCATAGCTTTGTTGCTTATGAGACAAAACTTGAGAGTAAATCAGTATCAACAATATTATTATAAAAAGGCCAATTACATGACTTAAACTAAAGTTTTTACATATGGGTAAATCCTTTATTTGTGCAAAATGTTATTTGTAATTTGTACAATTAGTTCAACAATTCTTCCTCCAATTTTTGTTAGAATTATTAACATTTTTTTCTGCATTGGCTTTTTTAGAGAGAAAAAATGTTACCTTTTGAAGGCAGCTACTTGCTAAAAACTAAGACACTTTAAAAGCTTGAATAATACATACAACAACATAAAATAATTTATGTAATAACATTTTAAAATACTATAAGCTGAGTTGAACTAGATTTTTGCAAAGATTAGTAATAGAATTACCATTCCCCACTCCTGCTCCCACCCCCACTCCTAATAATATCTGAAATGCCATGTCTCCTCTGCCTGTGAGCTCGTTGCGACAGTGAGGATTATTAGGGAGACAGAAGGATCATGGGATAGAAACGGCTCCATTCCACTTAGTTTGAATCTCTTGGGCTAGAGCTGGTTTCTATAGAGAACAGCGACTGCCTCGGTTTCTGAAAACAGATTTGCCAAAAAGTTCTCAGCTGACTCAGGATCTTACAGCAGATTCATGGCATGGTTTAATTTTAGTTTTTTAATTGAATTTTTATTAAAACAATTTGCTTTCATATTTAGCAAACATATGCTCCTAATGTCATATAATTGTTCCTTCCTTGCTCTAAATATATTAAAGTACCAAAGGTTACCTAGAGATGCTCAATAAGTATTTCTCAAATAAATGAAATTAAATGTTCCAAAGTATTACTCTTTCTTTTTAACACAAAATTCTATGAAGGATGTAAAAAATAGGCATTTCTCAAAAAAGAACCTGAGCAGCCACCTTTACTTCCCCATAACTACAGCTGACTAGCGTGGCCCCTGATTCAGAGCCCAAGCGCTTCATTTTACGTGCCCTTCGTCTCTCTTTTCATTGCTCTTTGGTCATTGCTAGACCTGGATATAGTTTGGAGATGGGTTTGGGATATAGTTTATGAGATGGATTTTCAATCACTAAATCCATGTATCTGCTTATATATATGCTTCAACCTAAACGCTTACATTATTTGGAATAATGCCAAATAGTGCCAGTGAATATTAAGCTTAATTTACACTGATCAATGTGTCTAACAGATACTTGTGAATTATTCAGTAATTAAACTCAATGGGGGTTGTTGCCTAGAAAACTGATAGGGCTAATTTAGACCAAGATCTGTCAGCACTGTAGCAGAAATTTAGCCAGTGCTTTTGTTCCCAGTCCCTGAGTTTTCAAACCACAAAGCCCTTCTATGTCCCAATTACTTGAATCACTGGGCTCTAAACTATATTGGCCTTAGCTTTCACATGAGAAAAATACAGTCGGGGTTGGGGGGGCAGAGGGGAGTGCACGGTGCACAGAAGGAGGTTTCAAACTCAGCATTATTGTTGTCAGAGAAAAACCCTGCCCCCTTCTTAATGTATGGAAGTTAAAATCTGAGGTTTTACAAATGGTTGGCACCCGGCTTTGTTTCACTGAAACTGCACTTGAAAGATCCTGCACGAAAGTCAGGAGAACTAAGACTTGAAACCTGTGGGGTGGGGTCTGTGTCTGTAAAAGAGAGTTTTAAACATTCCCAAGCTGGAGATTAAACAAACGAAAACAACTCTGTAAATGGAGACTCCACATTGTAAACACTGTAAGCCAAAGACTTCTCTAGTTAATTTAGTAAAATTTTTTTACAATTTTAATCTGTGATAACCTGTGCCATTGAAAAAAGTATTCTGTTCTTCTATTAAATTGGCATTCTATGATGCTCACCTTCCCAACACAAC